GATTATGTCAAGGAGACACGGGTACCCAAGTTTGACTTGGGATATTCCCTTTGCAAGTTTGAAATATTCCATTTATAGATTAGCCTCAAAGCGAGATTAAGATATTCCCTAATGTTGGATATTCCATTTATGGGTGTATGTGTGGATTATTTCTCCCATATATGGACTAATGTGATGGTTAATTTTGTTAGATCCTAGTTTATTTTTATATGTCACACTTGGATAGACATGCTTTATGCTAACTATTCACAAGTTCAGATTATTAACCATCTTGTGAGTTTGGACTACAGAGATGGACATAGAACTGGGGATATAGAAGCATTTGCATTGCATGCTTATTTTGTTGGATTATCCCGTTGTTTGTTTGTTTAAGTTATTACTATCAATCTTTGCTAATCATTATTTAGCGCTTTGGAAATCCTTGGACTTTGATATATTGGTTATAGGTTATTACACCCTTTGGCTTTGTATTATAAGTTTATATACTCTTTTACTTTGCTTTATGCGTTTATATACCCATTGACTTTAGGTTTTGGGTCTATAGTACCCTAGAATTAGATTATTGCACTTTTGGAAACTTGAAATGTTTTAAAAATATTTTCGGTTTTGATTTTGAGTTTGGACAATTGACATTGTCCAAAACACTTTAAGAGTCAACCTCAAGTATACTCAGTAGGCTTTCCAAGCCAAACATAACTATTTTGAGATGTGCTTAGATTAGATATTTGTATAAATGTAGATTAAAGATAGCATGAACATTTTGAATGTTACGTATCATGTAGTAGCATTTGAATTATGTCTTTGTTATTGATTGTTACTACCTTGCATATTAAAATTTATACTCTTTTGGGACATTAATTTCATACTTAAAATCTTTTAAAGTATTTGAACTAAAACTGATTGGGTTTTATAAAGTACTGTATTTAAAACCACATGTGTGAAGGATGCTTCATCTCTCCCTCGTTGCTATCTCCTACCACCAGTGAAAATTATCGTCTGCGTGATACTCAGATCTGTACAATAGTGTTGTTGGTTTTTTTAAAAGGAATTTCATGACCTCTTTTGTCTGTGTTGCGCAGACAACGTGTAGACGTTTTTTCTAGCAGAAAATTTGTTTTTTAGAAGGCTGTATACCTAAAAAGGTATGTACATCCTCTTCTTGGAGAAAATATGGACTCACCTCTTTTCAAGTCTGCAGACTTGTTCCTAGTAAAATAAAAAGGAAATTTTTTAATTATATTCTTACAAAAATTAAATATTAGTTTTATGTCCTTACAAATTATAAAACTACATATCTGATTACATATATGTCTGTCTAAAACAATAAAATTCACATTTATAACCAAACTAATATTTTAATTTGGATTAAACCAAATTAATATTGAAAAACTTATCTAAAATCCAAAACATCATATGATATTACTAAACTACTAATGTGAAATTTTAAAATTAATATTAAATAAATTTAATTAGAATTAGAACCATTTAATGTTTAAAAGCTTCAAGCCTTCAACATTATTTTTTAAAGTTTTCGACGAACATATATTCAAATGTAATAACATGTTAAGAAATAAACAAAAGTCATAAAAATACATTATTTAATATAATACCGTAAACTAAGTCTATGAAAAGCATTATTCTTGTGATGTTAACGTCATTTCAAATTGTTTGATGTTATTAACTTCACTGATCAAACAAAGACATAATCTTATTCAATCGCTTTGATACCCATTTTTATAATCAACAAACCCTTTTTAACTACGCAATGGATTAGCAAACAATAATAAATAATGTTATTCAACTGACTACATTCTCATCTCTTTAAGGATTCCAATGATGCATTCTGTCTTTTGTATTTATTGTTTTTGAATCATGTGTTTAAATGTTCCAATAGATGGTTTCATGTATATAGTTTTTTTCCAATTAACTCTTTTTATTGATGATTTTTATTAGATGGTTTCATGAATTTTCTCATACATAGTATATTTATAATTTTAAATGGTTTGAAGCAATTGATTGATTCTATTTATGCATGAATATTGTTTTAAATTTACAACTTAGTTTCTTTATAAATTCTAGAAACTATATTGATATAAAGTACTTGATAAAAACTCTTTTAGGTTTAAAAAACCAGTTTATTTAAATTTCTTTTTATTTTAGTAACGTACAAACTTTAAAAAACAATTTATTTGTTGCAGACTGCGGATGTTTGGTCCACATTTTCTTTTGTGGATGTCTGTGTTCCGCAGCCTACATAAATTTTGCCTCTTAAAAACAAACAACACTTAATTCTTCATCATCTTTGTGTGCTTTTAGTTTATTTCACTTCTTTCTCACTCATACTTGGATTTGTCCTTATGAACAAAAAAGCTCAAATCAATGTTTTGCGCATTTGATATGTTCTTTAATTATGCTTCTTATTTGTTCTCTGGTGGTAGAGTTTAGAAAGGGAAATTCCGAGTTTAGAAAGGGAAGTTCGGAAACCAATGATATTTTTCTCTAGTGAATTGATCACCACAATAAGATACACAAAAGGTGTGTGATGATTTGCTTTAATGAAAGTGGTAAGTTTTAAGATGTGAATATCTAACTTTTGTATAAATATATATAGTAAACTATGAATATTCTATGAATGTATAATGGTTTTGTGTTAAGATGTGACTGATGAATGTATGAATGTTTTTTTATTAATTTTTGTGAAAGCGTATTTTTTTTGTGTTATGTTTACGTTATGAATATTTATTAAAATTAAAAATTATTTTATATACCGTAAACGATTTATAAATGGTTATATTAAACTGTAAATGACTAAGTTTAAATTATTTTACATACCGTAAAAGGTATATATATATATATATATATATATATATATATATATATATTATTTTTTTTGTGTTATGTTAACTTATATAGTGTTTTGGGGTCACGGCCATTAGTGTAATTTTTTTTTCTATTAGATGCAACTTCTGTAAATATGAGGGCCACTGTTATATTAGATTTGTTTGGCAACTTTTTTTTAGTGCCACCACTACTCAATCTTTATGTGTCCGTCACTTTATATATCAATTAACACAAAAAATTACTAAATTATATGACCCAGTAAGTCATAAAACCACATAATTAATAAGTTTTTCTTTTAATATTAGTATATTTTATGAAAATGCATTATATATCATAATATTTTATTTTTATTAATTAAACAATAAATTTTATATACCGATCGTATTGAAATTTTAATCAAAACTACTAGTAAACAATTTAGATATACATGGCCATTAATGTAAAATGTCAGGTTGCGCAAATGAAATATATTTTAGTTCCAAATGATTGTGATAGAGTAAGTGAGAATATTTATAGTAGTAGTACCCAGAGCTATATCTGCTGCGCGTATCTAGCCGCAACTCAGTACTGCAAACCCTACTCCTACGTACCGCTGTTTGTGTTCGAAAGTGGACCAAATTTACCCATTTCAGGTTCCGACTTTTGATCCCTTTCAATCATCATGGTTTCGCCAAATGAGAAGGTAGTAAACTTATGGTGTACCAATTATTGTTACTTCTCTATTTTTCTCTTGTTAAAGCTTGTTACAATGAAACATGTTCATGCACTCGTTTCTATCGGTCGATCTTCTATCTCGTACACTGCATGCACCTTTTCTAAGTTCTTTTCTTTGAATCTGTGCTAAATCTTAGTTTTTTTTCGAGGTAACATTATGGATCGGTGTTAAATTGAAGTTACGAATCTTTTTGCTGTGTTTTTTTTTCTTTTGAAACTGCAATTTTTAGCTGTGCTTAATTGGTGATATCTGAGCTCCAATTTACAACATAGTCTTGAATTCACTTGTCGAGGCTAAAGAGCTAAATTATACAACCACATTCTGCTTTGAAAATTTTATCCGATTATACAAACCATTTTTCACTTGTCTTACCCATTGAGTGGATTTTCAAAAGTATAAAATGTCTTAATAAAAATAAACTGAAAGTACAATTCCGTCATCAGGTACATATATCAAACAAGGACAAGCGCTCAAACCGAGTAATCTCATTTTTGACCATCTTTGACTTGGTGATTTTTGATCTTAATTCCTCTCCATTTTGACTCTTCTTGACCAAGTTCAAACAACCTCATCTTTGGCTTTCCGAAAATGACCAAATTACCCCTGCAGTGCTAGTCCAACATTCAAATTCACATAAAAAATGACCAAATTACCCTTGGTGCTCATCCATCGTGCAAATTTACATCAGAAACACAGAAAGTGTCCCCTGAGTCTCTATTGCAAACAAATAGAAGTAAAAGATTCATGATTTTTACTACAAATATTACAAATTCGAAACAAAATAATATAAAGAAAGCAGCAAAACAATAAAATATGGTTTAATGAAAGTAGGATGCTATAACCATAATAAACATATATACATGAAAGTAGGTTGCTATATCTTATATATAGGAATAGGATGGGGGTGTTAGAAGTGCTTTCAAGTTGGCCTTATGCTTAGAAGCAGAAGCATTTGAGTTCATAGGTTGTCATTCAGCCACTGGCTACAAGATGTGATGATAATGCATGCTAATACAATATTAGATAGCTAGGCCAGGGCCCAAGGGCAGGGATGCATGCCTCTCACCAATGAAGTAATCATGTTGGATTCTTGGGGATTGATCGGTTAACATTAATCGGGTACTATTTTAGGCAACCAATGGAGTAGGGATCCACATCGATGTGTTATTTGCGGTTAATTTGAGCTCTTGCATATTATCATTAGAATACTAATTGCAATTAATGTGATACTTATTTTAAGAATTAAACGAATATGGACCGGTGTTAGTGTCCTACTCATGGTTGATTCATGACATTGGGATAACTCTTTTGAAATCGATATAGGAATGGAGTAACTTATTGACAACTCAAACCTTCAGGCATATACAGTCTGCTAGATTCTTTGCCTTTTTACTCTTGACACATTTTTCGCCTTACTAATATGATGTCTGTTTTTGTTTCTCAGATGCCAATAAATGCAGGGAGTGAACAAGCCCCTTCTCCAATGGCTGGTCAAAATGACTCGTCAAGTGTTGCAACGAATGGAGGGGGCAACAGCTTATTCAGGCAGGCAAATTCACCCGTCTTCACGACTAAGGTTGTCTTCAAATTAAGTTGTAACTATTATTTTCCAATTAAATTAGCATCTCGATCAGCAAGAAAATTTGGAAACTTGTAGACCATTCTCACCAATATATGATTAAATTTGGTAAGAAATCTTTCCAAGATAAGTTAAGTGTTCCATTTGTTTACCAAGGTATTACAACAACAAAACTCAAATCCCTATGTATTGGAGTAAAGAGAGAGGTAAGATGCAGGCAACCTACCTCCATATAGGGATAAAGAGACAATGGCACAGTTTTCTAAGAAAATTAAAGAACACACAAGATTTTACGTGGTTCGCATGGTTGGGTTATTTTCCTACCTCGACGAACTAAAGAGGTTTTTTAATTTTGAAATAGGTTTACAAGCTACACAAGATCTATATATATTGATCTAGGACCTTCGAAAATTAACAACTCTACAACTCAACATGTTCTACCACATGTCCACCACAACACCCTCATTTCTGCTACCGACATCTTCCTCTCATGCTCCTTAATTAATCAATTAATTAATATTATGATCTATCAAACATAGATGGCTTTACTGCCACCCTGTAAATCTTCCCGTTAGTTTTAGCGGGACTTTGTTGTCACACATAACTCATATGGCTGCCCTTCATTTTAACAATCTTGCCTTTATGCGGTGAGTAACGTCATCCTTAACACCCGTATGAAATGGCCATAGGTCTTGATCGGTTACCATTCGCGTATGACCTTTGAAATACTAATACGTGGTTAATTTTATGATACTAATTAAACAACTATTGGAGTAGTGATCTACTTCAACATCCTACTTGCGGTTAATTGTGTTCTTGCACACATTGGCGGATCTTATATAGGGCCAGGGGTTGTCCCCCCCCCCCCCCCCCCCCCTTTTTTTTAAATTAGTCCATAACTATTAAAAAAAGTTACATATTATGCCTAAAACTATAAAATTTGAATTTGACCTCCCCCCCCCCCCCCCCCCCGGCTGTTCTTCAATTTTTATACATATTCTATTTTCGGCCCCCAAATCAAAACTTCAAGCTCCGCCACTGCTTGCACACTAAATGCGAAATGTGATATTTATTTAAGCAATTACACAAGGATGGACATCAATGTCCAACTCACGAAAAATAGTGTTCATGGATAGTAGCTTATTAATGAAACTCCTGTACATATGATTGTAACTATCTGCTGGAGTCGGTGTGTCTCACCGGTATCACAATCTAGACATTTTTGGATCGAAGTGCAATGCTACTGATGCGTCAGTGGTGTGGCATGATGGAGTGGGTATTACATAAATTTCTATGTTGATATGTTGACATAGTAGAAAGGATTGGCATTATTATCCTTTTTTGTATCAAGATGATGCACTAATTAGTTGGCTGCTTGTAGACTTTTCAGAAACTCGAGGATGATATAAAACTGGTAGGAAAGAACATATTATACCATGAAGAAAATATCAAGTATTTGAACAAAGTTAGAGGCAGCTTTGGCCACAAGATTGCGGATATGGAAGGTATATTACCTCTATCAACTGTCTGTACATGTTCTCTTGATCATTTTGTAACCTTGATCTTACTTTGAACTTTGTTTCTGGGGACATGCATATTGTAGTTACTCTTGCCAATCATCAATCCTCAAGCAAAGATATGACCAAATGCAACGTTCTTTCCCAAAAAAGGAGCTTGGACGAAACAGTTGAACGTATCATGCAACACAAGAATTCAGCTGCCAGTGTTCTCTGTCATCTAACACGAAATGTTTCTAAAATGTCATCCGCCAGGAATGTCATTGGTGTTCTTGCCACTCTTGGGCATGTTGACAACATTAACCTCAGCAGGTTGGTTGATCTTTTAGCCCCTTTTACCTTTTTGCCCTCTTTACACATGAGTATGTATTATATATATCTATGTCAATTTATATGTAACTAATATGATATCAGGCTTCTCTCAGAGTACTTGGGACTGGATATCATGTTGGCAATAGTTTGTAAGTCATATCAAGGTGTTCGTTGCCTGGAGACATATGACCAAGAAGGCTCTATAAATAAAACAGCAGGTCTTTATCGGCTTGGAGCTTGCCATGGGAAATTTATTGATGGACGATTTAATGTGATCTGTCTTCAACATCTGATGTATGTATGCCATGTCATCCTGTGTTACATTTAGGATCGTTTTTATATACATTTTTGATGTATTTGTCTCTCTTTTGATCCTGATCCAGACCATATGTTGGTGAGTTTATGCCTGATGATCCACAAAGGAGGCTTGTTATTTTGGAACCAAAGTTACCAAATGGTGAATCACCAGCAGGGTTTCTCGGGTTTGCTGTGAATATGATCTATATTGATAACGAGAATCTAGATTTCGTTACAGACAATGGGTATGGGCTTAGAGAGACTCTTTTCTATTATCTCTTCTCGAGGCTGCAAGTGTACAGAACCAGGAACGATATGCTGCAGGCCCTCCCTTTAATATCTCATGGAGCCATATCTTTGGATGGTGGGATTATTAAGAAGAGTGGTGTGTTTATCCTCGGGACTCAGTAAGAACCTATTCTCACTAACTTTTTGAAGTGCATTGTCCTCCAAATGCATGCTTAAGAATTCATAATTGAGTTAAAAGGTTCAAACCCACATGCTGGTTGTGGAACCGGTTGGCAGGACATTAGGGGGCAAAGATTCGCCCGTCTAAGTTTTTTTATTACCATTGGGCCTAGGATTAGTCTTTTCAGAAACGTTTAATCTATTTCTGAGGTTTGATTCTGCTTATTTATAATACTCTTGTTGAATCTTGATTTATCTTATTTAGGGAAGATATAGGTGTCAGTTTTGGAATATGGTCCGGAGATTCTTTTCCATCAAAAGAATACACTGAGATTGAGAAAGAGATGAAGGAATTAAAATGGAAAAGTGACAGAATTAACGATGATATCCAGAGAGAGCAGGCTCTTTTGGCCACTGAAAAGTCCAAATTCGAGGTCAAGAAGAAAGAATTTCTCAATTTCATATCACAAAGGTTGATTGATCCAATGCAGGTAACATCCGCCGCATATTTTGGTCATATATCAATCTCTAGGCCAGACATGTTAGAAAAAAATGGGACAATTAACCATGTATTACATTTAATATGCATTAATTAACAGACTAAGACACAGACTAATAGTATCAAATTTTTGTCTGATCCAAAAAGGTGATACAAGGTAGAGTAGGGTTTACTTTTCATATATGGTACAAAAGATGTATATTCCCTACCATCCCCATCCCCGTAATCGAAAATAGTCATAACAAGCTTGTCCAGTCTTGTCAATTTTTCATCCTAAGCAGCTTAGGCTTAGGATTTCTGATGGAGCTGCATTGTTCGTCAGTCAAAAGTACATAATTTTCAAGCACCATATGCATTAACATTACATTGTATTTTTCAAAAGATGTATCATATGAATATATTCTTTTATTTTTACTCTTACGTACATTATAACACAACAAAAAGTTTTCAAGATATACAAGGCATACCTAGTGGACCCCTGTTCTGATTGTTGATTTATTGAATGTTGTATGCAGCACCCAGTTCAAGCAACACATGAAGGGGCGACCACACCTAAACATGGTCTTTCAAAGACCATTATAGAAATAGATTAGACATCCTCTATATAAAGATCAAACTTACAAATCGTGCAGGAAAGTAAGTTAAATAAAAGCATAATAGCTCAAACATTTATAGTTCATTATATGTGATGCATGCTTGAATGCCCTGAAAAGGTCGTCATTTATAGCATAAGACTATTTGTACTTTATTACATTTTAATCCTGTGTGTTTGTTAATCTCTTTGGGATAGAGATATAAGGATCTTGTTGTGACTCCTTTTATTTTATCCAATTGTACTTGGATTGTTGTTACAATTGTCATTTGATTTTTGTTATAATTTGCATGGTAGAACGATTTGGACAAAAGATGTTGAGTTTAATGATTTTCCTTTTTTGTTGCATTTAAATTCCTACATCATATCCAAAATCACTTATTGTCGGAAACTGTATATACTATTGTATAGAAGGGTTTTTGGCACCGTAACACAACAAAGTTTGACGAATTTACAAATTTAGTCATTCAAGTATTTTTTTGTGCTCAATAAATCGTTAAACTTGTAATTTACCTGTTATGTTAAATAGGGAATTAATCCCAAATCTTAGCGGTTTGTAGGTCACCAATACTTACGTTGTAGTGATGACATAGAAACTAACAAGTTTACAAATTATTACGCCTATGTGGCATATGTGATGTGGCATTTATTAAAAAAGAGTCTCCATGTCTCGATTCTACCTTTGCCATTTATTAAAAAGAAAAAATCTATTCCCAAAAACTTTGAGTCTGGAAGTTCTGCAATCGATCCATCTCTCACATGATCAAGCAAAACCCACAAACGAAGGTTTAGGTTGTTGATTTTGTTCCCGATTTTAAGGTTGAAGATGAAGATTTGGGGCTGGGAAGGAGTAGGCGTGAGGTTTTTAAACACCAAAATCCAAGATATCTGGGTTCATCTTCAAAATCTGATTTACTTTCTTCTTCTTGATCGGCTTATCCCAATGCCCAATCTCCTTGATTAATTCTGTCAATGTACGTAGTAGACGAGTGTAGGGGTTTAATTTCTCGGTTTGTTTCAAACCTCATATCTATTCGCCAAACTTTGTTGTGCTATAGTGTCAAAAACTCTTTATGGAAAAATTGTTAGTTTATATAAAAGAAGTTTTTGGTCTTAAACGGTAAAAAAAAAAATGCAAAATATAGTGTTTTTATGGAAAGAAAACTCAATTACTTGTTGGTAACATGATGGGGTGAAATAACAAGTAATAGATAAAAATTGAGTCATTTTCTAAAAAGAAAAAAGTTTTAGATTTAAAAAGGAAAAAAATTAACATGTGGGGATTTTTATGGAAAAAACACAAGTTTTTACAATGATATCATAAAAAATATTCAATGGTCAAACCAAAACTACTAAAATACTAAAAATTAGTGTTTTTATATAATCTGTCTTAAATAACATGAATCATAATTTTATATTTCGCCGCCAAATGAAGACATTGTCCGTGTGAAGGGGCCGGTGTCCCTTACTCCTTTTATATTTATATTTACATATTTATATTTATATTTATATATATATATATATTCTTCCTTAAATAAGTTAGATTATTACTTTAACATAGAAAGAGTTTATACTTTTTATATAAAACGAAATCAGTTCTTAATTAGTTAATTTATTTTATGATTTGCTAAAGTTTAGACAAAATTGCAAGATCGGTCCATGTGGTATTCAAAAAACTTTAGATGCGATCCAAAAACTCTCACTTATATAGAAGATCCAAAATCAAAGTTTTTCTGAGTTTTTAGTCAATTCCCTCTTACTCCGTTTATTTGGAGCCGTTAGGGCCATCACGTGCCCTCCATGTGAAGGCATTTTGGTCTATATGGTTCACAGCCTCCGTTGTCGCCACTTCAATTAATAAGTTGTATTAGGCAATAATTTTGCAAACTGTACTTCACTCCTTCGTCTTCTCTCACACCTCGTTCATCAATCTAGATGCAAAAACCCTAACCATTGTGTGAGAATCGATTTTCGTCCATGCTTTTGAAAATGTGGGGACACAGAAATATTGGAGAGAATGTTAACGTTCAAGAAGTTTATGGTAAGATACTTTGTATTTGATGATCAGGTTTTAAACTTTGAAAAACTCTAGCAATCGTCTTTTTCTGTTTTGAAGATGGAATACCATCGGGTCCATTCAACCATCGGGTTGGTATGCCCCCGACCCGTTGGCTTACGCACAAAGCAGTAAAGCCCCAGCCACCGACCAAATATGTGCACATATAACAGATAATCATATAACAGTCTACAGACAGTCATAAAGATCTACAGATCACTAAGCATAGCATCATCCTATATACCAAGATACCGATCTAACAGATCACTACAGTACAATAGCATACATGACAGCATATCGAATCCAAAGGGCCAGCCCTGGTGCCTTCGACCCGCAAGTACAGTGAGGAAAACTCACTTCGCAAACTGGAGAAAGCTGATGAGGTCTCGACTCCGAATCTCAGCTCTCTAACCAACACCTATTCCAACCAAATGACCAATCTCCATCAAAATCCCAAAATACCCTTAAGGTCAAACTTGGTCAAACTAGGTCAAAGTCAAACTCAACCGGTCAAACCAACTAAGTCAACTGAGTCAATCCAGCCGAGTTAACCCAACCGAGTCAACTCAACCGAATTGACGCAATGCGAGTACGCAGGGCGTACTCCGTCCTCGCATGTTGACCACCATCGGGGTGGTTGACCTCCTACGTAGGGCGTACTCCCCGAACTCCAAAAATCCATTAAGATCTTAATGGCCAAAGATCTTACGTCTATAATTCGGATCCATGGCTAAAATACTCTAACGAGTCATAAAGTCTCCAACTTTATGAATTAGCATGTCCAATAAGTGCTTAACATAAGGTCTTATTCCATTAAGACCTTCTAAATGATGCATGAAGCAAAACTAACCATTTGGAACCCATTTTTTATGACTTAAGACCCCTCCTATGGTCTGAAAGGACAGCTTAAAGATCAAGAATATGCCATGTTCACGATCTAACATTTTGGGACCAAAAAGCTTCATAAAGACATCCAAATTCGATCTATATGCTAGTAGGATAAAGTTTCAAGCTTTATACCTTAGAAAGGTTGCAGATAATGTAGAAACTCCAGATCCAAAATGCTTCACTCTTCCAAATTGAGCTTGACTTCCTTCCTTCTTCTTCTAAGCACAAAACACACACACACTTAGGTTGAAATAGCTTCTCAAGGGGAAATAGGGTTGAAAAACGTCTCAATAGGGACGAAGGCTGATGAGGTGAGGGGAAATGAAGCCATAAGGGTGTTTAAATATGAGCTAAACCCTAAAAATTAGGGTTTCCAAATCTAGCAAGTACGCCCAACGTACAACATGTACGCCCAGTATACTAGGGCGCGCCCTAGTACGCTCAGCGTACACACGTATGCATGGCATACTCCCCCAAGGCCAAATTATAGAAATGCCACTAGGGCTCCTTTTGCACACTTCCTTGAAGTTAGGGACCAAAATGCAATATAATTAAATTATAGGGTTGAAATTAGAAGTACCTTATTATCGGGATGTTACAATTCTCCCCCACTTGATCTAGACTTCGTCCTCGAAGTCTGCCGCTGCGAATAACTCAGGATAATGCTCTCGCATCTCCATCTCAAGATCCCAGGTCTACTTCGAGCCTCTCTGATGCTGCCATTGTACCTTTACCAAAGGTATCTCCTTGTTTCACGGGACCTTCATCTTTCTTTCTAGAATAGTCACCGGTCTCTCAACATAGCTCAGGGGCTCATCGACCTGAATATCATCCAAGGAAACCACTGCCCTCATCATCTAATACGCACTTTCACAACTATGAAACATGGAAAGTGCTATGAATCTGAATGAGCTCCACATGGAGATCCAACCTGTAATCCACCTTGCCAACCCTGGAAATCACCCGAAAAGGTCCAATATACCGGGGGACCCAATTTCCCCCCTCTTCCTGGAGCGTATCACACCCTTCCAGGGTGATACCTTCAGGAGTACCATATCGCTGATCTGAAACTCCAACTCAGATCGGTGCCTGTCGGCATAGCTCTTCTGCCGACTCTGAGCGGTCTGTGGTCTCTGCCTGATCTGCTGAATAAGCTCCCGAGCTTCGTGCTGTAAGGGACTACTTGGTTCCTTCCCATAACCCTGTGGCCAACCTCTCCCCAACAAACCGGGGTACGACATCTTCGACTATACAAGAGCTTAAAAGGCGGAGCACCAATGCAGGAGTGATAACTATTATTGTAGGAGAACTCCACAAGAGGTAGTTAGGAATCCCAACTCCCACCAAAATCAATAACACAGGCCCGCAACATATCCTCAAGGGTCTGTATTGTTCGCTCACTCTGGCCGTCGGTCTGAGGATGATATGCGGTGCTGAAATGCAACCACGTACCCAGTTCCTCGTGGAACTTCAGCCATAAATGGGAGGTGAACCGGACATCTCGGTCAGAAACAATGGAAACCGGAACCCCATGGCAAGCGAAAATCTCTCAGAAATAAACATTGGCCAACTTTTCGGCCGAAGAGCTCTCCCAATGGCTAAAGAGTGGGCACTCTTGGTCAATCAATCCACGATGACCCATATAGCATCAAAACCCTTTGTCGTCTTCGGTAACTTGGTGATAAAATCTATGGAGATCTGCTCCCATTTCCACATGGGAACCTCCAGAGGCTGCAGTTTGCCATGCGGCCTCTGATGCTCAGCCTTGACCATCCTGCAGGTCAAGCATCTCTCGACATACCAGGCTATCTCCCTCTTCATACACGGCCACCAATAGCTTAATCTCAAATCCCGATACATCTTGGTGGCTCCCGAGTGTATAGAAAAACAAGACTTATGAGCCTCCTCTAACACCATAGGCCTGACCCCACCAGAAACTGGAACCGAAACCCGATTACACCGGGTCAACAACCCTCGACTATCTGTGACAAATCTGTCAATCTCACCCCTGATCCTTTCCTGTTTCCATTTCTCTTTCTGAACTCCCTCATCCTGAG